AAAAAAAAAAAAAAAAGAAAAAAAAAAAAAAGAGAAAAATATAAAAACAAGTTGCAAATGGCTCTGAGAGCTTCCAGCCAACATCCACCCAGCTGGAACTGCTGTGGCCTGACCTCCAGCACGTGTTTTTGGAAAAACTGGGATCATGCTCTGCCCCAGGAGCTGCTGGCCATGCTTTCCTCCACGGAACATCACCATGCCCAGAGGAGATCCCTGGCTGGTTATTGCTTAATTCTCCCTTCCCATACTGGCCTTTAGGGTTATTTACATTTCTTTGGCTTGGCTTGAACAGACAGTCTGGCACTTTCCAGCCACCCCAGAGTCACCTGGGGGCAAGGAGGGGGAGAGAGGCCACGAGAAAACACAACGGTGGGCTCCTGCCGGCTCCAGCTGAGCTGCGCTCCGGCCAGGCGGAACAAGACAACTTGGGTTTGGCACAAACTCCTCCAGAATCCACCCGGGGACCCCCGTCCTGCCCTCATCCAGCACCACGGTTCCCACGGTCTGCAGGGAGCAGGGCAGGCCTGGGGGGAAGGCGGCGTCGGAGCCTCCCCACGCTCAGACCACGAACTCGGGGACTTCGTCGTGGGTGAGATCCAAGGAGAAATATTTGCTGGTTCTTTTCACCGGGAAGGTGTCCTGCATGTTGATGCACTGCTGGGCCAGGCAGCCGTTGCAGTAGAGCCCGTCCTCGGCCAGGCCGTGGGCGCAGCCGAAGGTGAAGCTCTGCGCCGTGTCCTGGCACAGGTTGGCCAACTGCAAGAAGTCCTTCTGGTAGAGCCGGATGTCATCCAGGCTCAGGCTGTGCCGGTCCGTCGACGTCTTGGGTTTCCTGCACGTGGTCTGGGGGAAGCCAAGAGGAGGCTCAGGATGTGCCAGGGAGCCCCTGGGGCCGGGGAATCCCAAAACCCCAATCCCGAAGCCCCCGATCCCACGTACCTGGGGTAAGGAGTCGGTGCTCTGCCCCCGCAGCTTCACCACCGTCTCCGAGGAGCTGGAGGTGGAGGAGCTGATCTCCTTCACGATGAGTCCTGCACAGAGGAGGGTGCAAAGGTTATTTTGGGTGGCTCAGCTCTCTTGGGATCCACTCCTGCTGTCCATGAGGACAAAGGCTCCCTCAGCTCAATGCGGTGCCTTCAGCCCAACAGCTCCACTTGCAAACGGCGTTGCCTGCAAAGCATCCCAAATTTGCCTCAAAACGGCAAATCCAAAGCTGCTCCCAGGGAGCCTGGCACCCACAAGGACCTCCCAGTAGCTCCCAGCTCAGAGCTGCAAGTGACTTTCTGGGTGCAAGCAAAGCTCCAGAGAAGATCATGGAGTCCAACTGTTCGCCAGCACTGCCCAGGCCACCAGTGTGCCATTTCCTCAAGTGCCACATCCATGTGGCTTTTAAATGCCTGCAGGGATGGGGACTCCACCACTGCCCTGGGAAGCTGTGCCAGGGCTGGACAGCCCTTTCAGCGAAGAAATTTTCTCCAATATCCAATCCAAACCTCCCCTGGCAGAACTTGAGACAGGTTCCTCTTTTCTTTACCCCATCTCTCCTTCAACCCATTGGGTGAACAGTTTTTCCCAGCAACCCAAATGAACATCTTGGTCTAACTCTGCTCTGCCAAACACCAAAAAACCACAGAATGACCAGAGTGGGAAGAAACTTTAAAGACCATCTCATCCCAGCTCCCAAAGGTGTGACTTGCACCGGGGGATTGGGAAGAGCAGCGGCCACCACCTTACCCGAGTGCCCGTTGAACTTGCGGGACAGCAGCATGTCCTCGGTGATGTAGACGCACATGTCGGGGCTCACCTCCATCTCCCCAGCCTGCTCCAGCTCCCGGGGGTCATCCACCAGCATCTCGATTTCTGCCGGACACCAGCAGAGAGGACAAGTCAGCCACGAGCCTTCAGAGCACCCTCCAAACCCAACGACGGGCCAAGCCAAGGCGGCGCCTCACCGTCATCCTGGGAATCCTCCTCCAGCCGCTCCTTCCCGCCGCTCTCCACGCCGGAGGTGTGGGAGCTGCCGTGGCTGGTCATGGAGCTGCAGGTCTTCAGCTTGCGGTGGGCGCCGGCGCCGGAGAACCCATCCTCGGGGCCCGTCTCCCGGGGTTTGGGGTCAGCCTCGATGCCAGAGGTGTGGGAGCTGCTGTGGGAGGCGGTGGAGTGCCGGGACAGCCGCTTGTGCCGGATGCTGCCGGCGCTGCTGCCGCTGGCGCGCGAGCGCTTCTCCAGCTGCTCCATGTCCAGGTCCAGCGTGTCGCTGATGTAGGATTCCCGGTACTGCTTCTTCTCTGCAGGGGGGAACGGAATCAGCGTGATTGCCACGACCCCCGGGGCAAACTGCACCCCCTGGGAGGAATTGTCACCCTGGAACAGCTGGAGATGGCTCTGTCCCGGTGGCAGTAAGGGAGGTGGGGCAGGAGCTCCACACCTCCACACCTCCTGTGGGCCACCTCCTCCAACAGAGGAGGAGGAGGGAGAAGGGGAGGAGGAAGAGATGTGGAGGAAGAAGAGAAAGAAGAAGACAGAAAATAAGGAGGAGCAGGAAAAGAAGAAAATAAATTAGGACAAAGAAGATGAGGATGAGAAGGAAGAAGATGAGGATGAGAAGGGAGAAGATGAGGACGAGATGGAAGAAGATGAGGACGAGATGGAAGAAGATGAGGATGAGATGGAAGAAGATGAGATGGAAGAAGATGAGAATGAGATGATGGAAGAAGATGAGGACAAGAAGGGAGAAGACGACGACAAGATGGAAGAAGATGAGGATGAGATGGAAAAAGATGAGGACAAGATGGAAGAAGATGAGGACAAGATGGAAGAAGATGAGGATGAGATGGAAGAAGATAATGAGGAGAAGCAAGACAATGAAACAAGGTGGAAGAAGATGAGGAGGAAGAAGAGGAGAGGAAAGAGAAGAATACAGAACAGAAAGGAAGATGAGAAAGGGAAAGATGAGAAAGGAGCAAGAAAACAAGGAGAAATAAGAGGAAGAGGTGGAGGAAAAGAAACAGGAAGAAGAGGAAGAAAACAAGAGGAAAGTAGGATGAAGATGAGGAGGAAGAAGATGAGGAGGAGGAAAACATAAGAGGAGGATAATGATGAGAACAAGAAAGAAGATGAGGACAAGGAAGAAAAAGATGAAAAGGATGAGAAAGAGGAAGACGTTGAGGCAGATGAGGAGGACGAAGAAGAGTAGGACAAGAACAACAAATAAGAAAAGGACGAAGAGGGGAAAGAGGAAGACGAGGAAGAGAAAGAGAAGATCAGGAGAGGAAAGAAGAAGAAGAAGACCTTATGCTTTCACAAGGATGAAGGACACTGGGAAAGCTGTGCCGGGACACCGGGGACGGCAGCAGGGCTCACACCCACCCCGAAGCAGAAGAACCAGCGGCTCCTACGGGCGTGAAGAGCCCGTGGGAGGCTGTCCTGGTGGGCCTGGGGCCTGGAACACCTACCCTCGTTCTCCTCCAGCCTGCGGACCTGGCGCAGCACGGGCTGCAGGTTCATGTAGAGCCTGTGGCTGCTGCTCAGCAGCTGCAGGAGGTGGCGCGAGCGCAGCGGGCAGCCCGTGTAGTAGATGAGCTTCCGGGCCGAGGGCAGCCCGTCCGGCAGGATCTCGAACTTCTTGCCCTGCGTGGGACAAGGGAGGCATCAGCCCCGCAGAGGACAATGCTCCAGGTGTCACCCAGTCCTGCTGCAGCTCCTGGGTAACCCCACGGGGAGTCATCGCCTGCTGCGGGTCAGTGCGAAAGCGTCCCACGCCCACATCCAAGCCCAGGAGATGCCCTGCCTGGGGATCGTGGAATCACAGAGGGGTTTGGGGTGGAAAGGACCTTAAAAACCACCTAGTCAAACCCCCTTCCATCTTTCACTATCCCAGGTTGCACCAAGAACCGTCCAGCCTGGCCTTGGACACCTCCAGGGATCCAGGGGCAGCCACAGCTGCTCTGGCCAGACCCTCCCCACCCTCACAGGGAACAATTCTTTCCCAGTCTCCCACCCATCCCTGCCCTCTGGCAGTGGGAGCCATTCCCTGGGTCCTGTCCCTCCATCCCTTGTCCCCAGTCCCTCTCCAGCTCTCCTGGAGCCCCTCCAGGCCCTGCCAGGGGCTCTGAGCTCTCCCTGGAGCTTCTCCTCTCCAGGGGAACATTCCCAGCTCTCCCAGCCTGGCTCCATAGGAAATGGTGTGTGGTCCAGCCCATGGAGCATCTCCATGGCCTTCTGTGGACCTGCTCCAAGAGCTCCATGTCCTTCCTGTGCTTCCCCCAGAGCTGGAAGCAGTGCTCCCGGTGCAGATGGTGGCACTCACCACAAACACCAGTTTCCCCACGTTTGTCCATGGGAAGTCGTAGAGCAGCTGCTTTTCCTCATCCAGGTTCTGCAAAAAAAGGAGAGGGAGCCATGGCTGAGGATTCTGGTAGGGGCATGGAGCTGAGCTGAGCCATCACCTTCACTCTGTCACCTACCTGGAAAATCTGGATGCCCCGTGTTGTCAGCCCCAGAGTCAGCGAGGCCTCCACTTCCCTTTTGTCCTAAGGGGGAAAAAATGCTTTCAAATACACAATTTGCAGCATGAAGTGGTTAAATCCACCCCGCCTCAGCCCAGGGATCCTCCCACAATCACCCCAGTGACCACTCTATGATTAATGTGCCAAATTAAAAGTGGAAAGTGACAGGATAAGGGAAAATGCTTTTTAACTAAAAGAGATTTAGATTAGACGTGAGGAAGAAATGATCCCTGTTGTTGATTTCAGCACCCCTTTGATGTCAGCAAGGCCTGTGAGGGTGGGCAGGCCCTGGCACAGGGTGCCCAGAGCAGCTGTGGCTGCCCCTGGATCCCTGGAAGTGTCCAAGGCCAGCTTGGAGCAGCCTGGGATAGTGGAAGGTCCATGGCAGGGGTGGAACTGGATGAGCTTTAAGCTCCCTTACATCCCAAACCCATTCTGGGATTCAATTAAAACACCCCACGCTCTCCCAGAAAAAAAAAAAAAAACAAACAAACAAAAAACAGGAGATAAACCAAAAAATGTATTTCTCAGCATGTATTTCTCAGGCAGGGCATTCCCAAAATTCACATCCCAACAGCCACGGGGCCAGGGCTCACCTTGTACAGCCTGTAGTAGTGCACGGCCACGTCGTCCAGCCTGACGGCCTCCTTGATGTACTTGAGATGGGCTTCTGAGGCTGTCAGGGCAAACTGGTCCTTGTGCATGTTGGGGACGTGCTTCAGGATGTAATCCTTGCCCCTCTTGGCAACCACCTGTTTGGAGGGGGACAGAGCTGCTCCAGCTGCCCCGTGCTCGCTCAGGGCCGGGTGCTGGCTGCTGGGAGTGCTGGTTCCAAGGGAAAAGGGCAAATTGGAGCTTTGCTCTAGAGGCATCCAAGCAAAAATAAAATAATTGCGGCAGCCAGTGGCTCCTTGTCAGGATTTCCTGCTGGGAAGTGTGCTCCATGTGGCCATGCCATGGTGACACCTGTGCTGGGGTGGGGAGAGTCACACACGGAGTCCCTGCGTGGCTGGGGACGCGGGCCCAGGGCCACCACTCCTCAGGGATGTGTGTGAAAAAAGGAGAAACAGACAGATTTTGGGACAAAACCAAGAAAATAGGTTGGGGAGGAGAAGAAAAGGCACCAGAGAGAGCTTTGAGCACCTGAAGGGGCTCCAAGAGAGCTGGAGAGGAACTTGGGACAAGGGGTGGAGAGACGGGACACAGGGAATGGCTCCCACTGCCAGAGGGCAGGGATGGGTGGGAGACTGGGATGGAATTCTGCCCTGTGAGGGTGGTGAGGTTCTAGCCAGAGAAGCTGTGGCTGCCCCTGGATCCTTGGAAATGTCCCAGGCCAGGCTGGACAGGGTTTGGAGCAACCTGGGATAGTGGAAGATGTCCCTGCCATGGCACGGTGTGGAACGGGCTGAGCTTTAAGACCCTTCCAACCCAAACCATTGTGAGATTCCGTGCCACCAGTTCCCAAAGGGACCAGCCACCAGTTCCCAAAGGGCTGCACCTGCTGCTGGTGGAGCAATGCCCACAGAGAATCCCCCAGGAGCATCCCTGCAGCTCACAGGGAACTCCCCACCAGCCCCACGGCAACCCCAACCCGCAGCTACTTCCACCCCCACAGCAACCAGGTGATTTAGGAGCAGGATGAACCCGGGATGCAGCCAGAGCAGGGAGCACAGCTGGATGTCTTACCCAGGCAGGGAAATAAGCCTCGGGCTCGAAGTACTTCCCGTAGTGCTTGTTCCTCTTGAAGTCCCCCAGGTCGGCTTGGAGGGCGAAGGCCGTGAGCAGGAAATACGCCTCCTCCCTCAGCACACACTGCGAGTGCAGCACCTGCTTCCTCAGGTGCCAGTAGTAGTAGTACCGAGCTGTCCTGTCACTGTGGAGGGACAGGGGACACTGAGTACCCAGGGGACACCCGCTGGGAAGCCCCCAGGTGTCAGAATCTGAGGTGTCGATGATTCTGAGGTTGTAAAAGTCTCTGTGTGTCAGCCCCGCTGCCAAAGCAGAAGCCATAATTGGTCTGTGCTGGTTCCAGGTTGTTTATTCTGTTTATCTCTCACATGTTCTGCTGCCCTGCCCAGCTCTGTCCTGCAGGGCAGCGTGTGGGGCTCTGCCCTCAGTGGGATGTGACAAACATTAAATACCAGAAACTCCCTGGGCTGCATTTACAATAACGTGCCAATATCTGTCACCTACGTTGGACAGTGTGTCCCCAGCCTGAACCAACAGAAAAATGCCAACACCACAGTGAGACATGGAGGGCATGAAGGAGGAGAAAAAGGACAAGGCACACCCAATTTCCTCCATCTTGTCCCCTTTGGACCCCTCATCTAGAATCCTAAAATTTTACTTTTGCACCCGTGCCACACTTAATTATTACTGATATCAAACACTCAGAGCTGGTAATTGATCCTGTAAGATTGAAAACTCTTTTCCATGGGCAGAGATCACAGCCAGTGTCTCTGGGGGCTCTGTCCAGGGGGTTCCTGACCCCTGCCAGGGTCCCAGACCTGCCAGGGCAGCCAGAGGGAAGCCCTGGACTCCCACACTCAGGGAGCGATCACCAAAGGGTTCTGCTCCCTCTTCCCTATTTGTTATAATTCTGCAAGCCACTTCACCAGCCAGGTGGAATAACCTCCTCAAAAAGTCTGTGCAGGTGCCACTGTGTCCCCAAAGCCGTGGGAAGTGTTTTATCCCCAAGCAGGAGCTGCAGCTCCCACTCAGCTGTGGGTAAGTGCAAATCAGGGTGTGCTAAACCCCTAAACACATCCCCCCTAAACACATGGTGCCAGTATCAAACCATAACACCACTATTGTAAACACAGGTGAACCCGGTGGGAAGAAATGATGATGTTTGACTCTAGTTCAGAAGGTTGAATGATTTCTTTATTATAACTATGCTATAATACATTAATATACTATTTAAAGGAGATACTAAAACTATATATTTACTTTTTAAACTATTATATCTAACTAACTCACCACTCGTGACCCTCTCGCCAGAGTCCAGACACAGGTGGGTTGGACTGGCCATCAGGCTCAATATTCACTAAAATCTAATTAAGCAATCACCTTAAGTAAACAATTCTGTAAATACATTCCACATGGGAAAAACAAGGAGTAGAAATAGAAATCATTTTCCCTTTCTTCTCTCTGTGCTCCTCTGTGGCAGCACATTTCTCTCTCTCTCTCAGGATTTTTCATAGAGGTGCACAGAGAGAAATGAAAGAGAAAACAATTTCTATTTCTGCTCCTTGTTTTTCCCATGTGGAATGTGTTTGGAGAATTGTTTCCCTGGGTTGATTGCTTGGTTGGATTCTGGTGAGGATTGTTTGAGCCTGGTGGCCAACCCAACCCAACTGGGGCTGGATTCTCAGAGAGGGTCATGAGTTGAGTTAGAGATATAGTTAGAACAAGTAGGTTTGTAGTTTTAGTATCTTACTTTAAATAGTATATTAATGTATTTTATCATAGTTATAATAAAGAAATCATTCAGCCTTCTGAATGGAGTCAGACATCATCAGTTCTTCCCACTGGATTCACCTGCACTTACAATACTCCCCTACAAAAAAATCCTGAGAGAGACAAGAATGCTCCTGCCACACCCCACCCCACAAAAGGCTTTGTCTGGGGGCAGTGTCCCCACCTGCCCCTGTGAGAAACCACCCAGCACCCAGCCAGGAGCAGCCCCAGATTTTGGGACGTGCCCTACCTGATGAGCCGCCCGTTCTCCACGTAGTACTGCACTCGGAAGTGGATGATCATGGGAGGGCCAAACTGGTCGATCCCCTGGAATGGAGGAGGTTTTCAGGAATCTCAGTGGGATCCCAGCATCACACCCAGCCCCTCACCTCATCTCTCTGGGGTCATGTCTGTCACAACCACCCCTTGCCCACCACGCCACCGACGGCATTTTTGTTCCTCGGTTAAGAGTTTGGCACCCGTTTTTTCCAGATAAAATGCTGGAAATGAAGGGGATTTGGATTTAAAAAGGCTGGGTGTGACAAGCCCAGGAGTTCTGCAACACCTCCACTGCTGCTCTCCCTCTCCCAGGCCATCATCCAGCAGCACTCGAGCCTGGGCACCACCCCTCAGCACTGAAAGAATGAAAAGGTGCTTCAGGGAGAAAAAACCCACATTGATTTTAGAGTTTGGAAGAAGGGAGCTCAAAAATTCTGCTGAAGGATAAGGGAAGAAAAGAAACCTAGAGAAAAAAAACCCCAGATCTCCAGGGATGGAGCGTGGAGGACGCACCCCCAGCTGGGGCACACGGTGGCACTTAGAGTGACAAGCCCAGGGTTGTGGCTTTGCACATCCACCCCCCAGCCCCACACTGACTAGATGCCCCCCCACCCCTTGGCAGCATTCCCGGGTCCTGGAAGTGACCTGTGACGGGGACAGAGGTGGCCTTACTGCCGTCAGCTCTCCATGCAAGACCTCACCGCTGACCTTGCTGGCCTCCTTCTTCCACTCCTTGGGGCAGTACTTGTAGAGTTTCTGGGCCAGGTCCATGTACACGTGCTCATTGTCTGGGAGGGACAGAGGTGGCATCAGCATCCCCACGTGTCCCCTGCCTCCCACCATGCCCCATGAGTGTGGGGGGAGTGGGGAACTGTGACCTCCTCGTCACCAGAAGTGTTAATTTTCACACTTAAGCCCCTGACTTACTCTGGATGACGCTGAGCCCGAAGAGGTGACAATCCTTCAGCCTCAGGAGGTCACACACCTGCACCAGTAACTCTTGGCACAAGATCTTCACCTGTAAGAAAAAAACCCTTCAATGAGGTCTGGCTGCATCTGTGCCCACCAAACCCCTCAGCAGGACCCCGAGCAGGATGGGGGGGTGACAGGATGGGCTGTGGGGCTCAGCTCTCCATGGGGAGTCCCCAAAAGCCTGGACCAGAGCTCTGCCAGGGGTGGGATGCTCAGAGGACCAGGGGGCAGCTCGAGAGCAGTGGGTGGTGGAGGAACCCAGCACTGGGGAGATGTTTTGGGGGCAGAAATCAGAACATTGACAGTCTCATTCCACCCCATGGACACCTTCCACTATCCCAGGTTGCTCCAAGCCCAACTTGGCTTTGGACATTTCCAGGGATGGGGCAGCCACAACTTCTCTAGGAAACCTGTGACAGGGCTTCCCCACCCTGCTAGGCAAGGATTTATTCAGATTATCTAATCTAAATCTTTCCTCTTTAAGTTTAAAACCATTCCCCTTATCCTATCATTATCCGCCTCTTTCCAAACCTCTTTCCATCTTTTTTATAATGTCCCTTTAAGTCCTGAAAGGAATTTCAACGTTTTCATGACTCAAATGCAAAATTGGGTGGGGGTGAATTAAAAACAAAATAAAACAAAACAAATAGTGGGGGAATTTCACATTCAGTGCCCCATCCCAATCGGAGCCAAAGCCCCTCCTGTTAATTCCCTGGGCTGGAGGAGGTTGAAGAGGCATCCAGAAGGGATTAGTGGGGTGAGGGCTGAAGAATGGGGCTCGTGCCATGCTGTGGGATGCCAAGCAGCAGGTCACCCTCCCCAAACCCCGCTGCTGCCAGCACCACATGGACCAAGGAGACGCAGGAGAGCGTAAACCACCGCCGCAACCTCCAGGGGAATAACTCGTGTGCATTTCCCCGGCAGGGCGAGGCCAGGCAGGCTCCAAACCAAACCCAGGGAATGCAAACACAGCCCCGGGGAGGGGATGGACACGTCAGGCTCGGGAGGGGAGGCTTCCTTACGTTGATGATGATGTTGAGGGAGTCGTCGTTGGGGAGGAAGATGCACACGCTGCGCCGGTCCTGCATGACTCTGTTGTTGTGGAAGGGCAGCTTGTTCATCGTGCTCTGGGCAGGGGGCTCGGGGTGGGCGGTGGGGGGCACCTCACCGGCGGGCCGGGGCGGCCTCGGGCTCCGCGGGTGCCATCCCTGCGGGGGAAAAAAGGGGGATGAGCCCTGGGCATGGCATCCTCTGCATCCCCCATCCTTCCCACCCACACCCCTGTGGTGTGGGCTCGTGCTCGGGGTGTCCCCCAAAAACCCTGAGCACACCCCACCACAGCCACCCCAACACAGCCAACCCCATGGTTTCTGGCCCAGCCCCAAAAAAACCTGAGCCAGCAGTTTGATTCAAAAAAAAACCTCAGGAAAGGCTTTTCTGGCATAATTAAAATAAATAGAAGTTTATCCTCTGGGAATAACCCGGCTGGGCCAGCAAGGAGCAGTGCTGGAAGTGGGAAATTTTCCTGCCAGCCATGCAAAGGCAAGGAAATGCTGTGGGGAGCTAAGAGGATCCCCAGATCCCTTCCAACATCCTTTCCCCCAGTTCCGACTCTTTACTGGGGTGAAATAAAACAATCCAAGCACCAACAGGGATTTGCAGACTGGAATTGCCTTTCAGAGCCAACAAACCCATCCTAACACTGACCCCAGGAAATTCTCATCCCGGGGATGAGTATTATTCCCAAAGCACTTTTTACCCCACCATGCACAAGGACACGAATTCTCACATGACACCATGAGGATGGACTTCAAACTCTGACCTAGTTCAGCCTTTTCCTAGCCCAGATTTACGCTGGCACCCAGACAGCAGAGTGGCTCCCTTGTCACCAAATATTTGCTTCGGTCTAAAAGGAAGCGCCTTTGGCTTCCAAAAGCCTGGAATTTGTGCAGCAGCACGGGGAAAAGTGGCCCGAGGTGACTTTTTGTTGGTGGTTCCTGGGGTTTTTGCAGAAGTTGGGAAATCCGGAGGCAATGCTTTCCCACGGCCAGGGCGCCCCGGGGCTGCACCACAGAGGTTGTGTCCATGCAACGTGGATTCTGGATTTCCAACATGCATTGTATCCGTGCACTGCATTCATGCCTTGGGATGGTGCATTGCGGCCGTGTGTTGCACCCGTGCGTTGCATGCCTGCGTCCTGGCCATGCATTGCACCTGCACGTTGCGTCCAGGAATGGCGGTGGTGCATCACGGATTCTCTGCGTTGCATCTGTGTGCATCACGGCCCTCCACTGCAGCCATGCATTGAGCTGGAACACTGCAGCACCTATGCATTGCATCTGTGCAGCACAGACATGCAGCCTGGCCATGCATTGCACCTACACATTGCACTCGTGCTCTGTGGCATCCACGCAGCGAGTTGGAGCCTCATGGCATCCGTGCAGTGCATGTGTGCATTGCAGCAGTGCATGGTGGCATCTGCGCACTGCAGCACTGCCTTGTGGCATCCATAATTTGTGTTGGCACCTCATGGCATCCATGCATTGCATCCGTGCAGCACACGTGCAAACTGGCCATGCATTGCACCCATGCGTTGTGGCATCCATGCATTGAGCTGGAACATCATGGCAGATATGCATCGCATCTGCGCATTGCAGCACTGCATTGTGGCATCCATAATTTGTGTTGGCACCTCATGGCATCCATGCATTGCATCCATGCAGCACAGGCATGCAACCTGCCCTTGCATTGCACCTACACACTGCACCCATGCATTGTGGCATCCATGCATTGAGCTGGAATATCATGGCAGATATGCATTGCATCTGTGCATTGCAGCACTGCATTGTGGCATCCATGCATTGAGTTGGAATATCACGGCACCTATGCATTGCATCCATGCACCCATGCACTGCACCTACACATTGCACCCATGCATTATGGCATCCATGCATTGAACTGGAACATCATGGCACCTATGCATTGCATCCATGCAGCACAGACGTGCATCCATGCATTGCACCTACACATCAAACCCGTGCATTGTGGCATCCATGCATTGACTTGAAGCATTGTGGCATCCATGCAGTGCACCTGTGCATCACAGCACTGCATTGTGGCATCCACAAATTGTGCTGGGAAACCTCATGGTATCCACGCATTGCATCCCTGCACTGCACCTACACATTGCACCCATGCATTGTGGCATCCGTGCATTGAGCTGGAACATCACGGCAAGGTATGCATTGCATCCATGCAGCACAGATGTGCATCCATGCATTGCA